TCCGCGGTCGCAGGCTCCGTCCTCTTGCCGCCGCCGCCGCCGCCGCGCCATGACTTCGCTGACCCAGACGCAACTCGGGCCTGGTGCAGCGCCGCACGGAGGCCTCGCGCAGCGCGGCTGACAAAGAGCGGGGGGCCGGCGGCGGGGGCGGCGGGAGTGGCGGCGGCGGCGGGCCGGAGGAGGAAGGCCGGCGAGACGAGCAGGGGGACGAGGAGAAGGGCGACTCCAAGGAAACGCGGCTCACGCTCATGGAGGAGGTGCTGCTGCTGGGCCTCAAGGACCGGGAGGTGAGGGGCCCTCCGGGAAGGGGGGGCGGCCCTTGTCGGATTGTGAAAAAACGGGGGGGGGTGAGGTGGCCGTAGGGTGGACATTCCCAGCATAGTGCCAGCCAGATGTGTTGGACTAAAGCCTGGGTTCCCCAGCCGGCCTACTTGGGGAGGGTGGGAGTTGGAGTCTCCTGGGGCATTAAATGGGGAAAGGCTGTGGGGGAGGGGCTCGAGAGCCGTCGAGGGGCAAGAGATTTCTTGGGGTAAAGGCACAGGCTGGCGATTCGGAAGTCCTCGGGCCCAGGTTGTTTCTGTTTGCATAACATAGTTGACTGGATTGCCCAAATTGCTTCGTTCCGCACAATTCCTGGGACCACAGGCGGGGCGGGGGGGGGAGTATATGCTGTGCCACAAACTGGCCACATTTTAGCCGCTGGACCCGGCGGATTTGAGTGCCGGTCTCCCTTCAAAGCCATCCTCTTCCCTTTATTGCTTGTAACAGTGAAATCATTCAACAAGAGATTAATCATTTCACGGGTTTTAAAAAAATGAAGGATAATTATAAAAAATAATGAAATAAATGAAAGAAGTGGTATAATGGTAATAAGATTTGAAGGGAGGAGTGGGTATTACTTAAAGGTGAGGGAGCTTCTATTAGCATACCAGGAGAATGCTCACGGTTGATAGAGCTTTTTTCAAGTAGCTATAATTGGCTGGAATTGAGAAAGCCAGCAATTTAGAAATGTCTTTAAAGAGATTTTACAATGGGTATAAAAGGGTGTTTAGCAATACATTGGGGAAGGGGATTCCAGCTCTAAGCTTTGGGATACAACAGGAAAATTCAGCAGGTCTCTAATTAGGAGGTCATTTAGCCTAGAATTTCCTCAGAGGAGCTTTTACTATTGTGTGTGTGTATGTGTGAGATGGAGCTCACTGGTTATTTTATTTGGTTTCTTATTTTAGTTGCCTTTTAGAATATAAAACTGACATGTCAATTTTTGCTCTAAGATGCTGCTAGTGTAAGTCATAACACTGAACCATAAATCTGCCATTTGTATATTCCTTTCCTGTTCCCTCTCTTTTATTCATATAGGCCCCTTGGTTTATGGGTTAGAAGTTGGCAGGGGTTGTGTGTGTGTGTTACACTAATGTAATTAGTCTGCCTAAGAAAAAGAATGGAAAAGTTGTAAATTATATGGAAAAAATTGTTTCTTTTAAATTACTATTAGATATATGGCTATTTAGAAATGTAGAAAATGCCATACACAACATATAAAGGCAGTTTTCCCCAGAAAGGAAAGGTTTATCAAGTGTGTTTACAAACTATTAAAAATTATCTTTGAAAAAGCAAATCTGGAACCTGTTGCATCAAACCAAAACCAATAATGTCTTGTGGTACCCTAAACAATAATACATTTTATTATGGCACAAGCTTCATGGGTAAGAATCAACTTCTTGTGATGAAGTAGGGTGTAGGCTGCAGTTTTATGCTGTGATATCATTTGTTGTTAGGAAATTCAACTCCACTTGAATAAAGGCAAACAGTATGTCTTGTCGTGTCATCTTGTCTTGAAGTTGGTAAAGCATTTCAAAATCTAAGGTGGAAGATTCAGTTGTCTCCTCTGAATTACATCTTTAGATTAATGTTCTGTAGCTACCAACTGATAGTTCTGTTGGAAAGAGACATTCAGATAAGGTACAAACTGAAGGAGAGATTTTACAAAAAGTATTACCTTCAAAGAGCTGTTACTCTCTTGCTTAAAAGGTGACTGACTTACCAATTGTTTTCTGCCTACAGATATTCTCAAAGATAGGGAAACTATAAACTAATGATACTCACAGAATATGTTATGCAATATGTGCAGCAAAACTACAGTTGTAATCCTTTTTTTTTTTACAGTTCTCATATGAGTATTTAATTTTGTTTTGTTTCTGATCTGTTGATTTGCAGGACTAGCTGCAGAACCATTAATAAAAGATTCACAGTCACTCCTGGCAGTGCAAAAGGCAGGTGGAAGGCAGGGTTTTCATCCAGGTGTGATAGAAGGATTCATGGTGTTAGCCTTCTCTACCTCTGATGAGCTTAGCAGTGATTCTGAATATGCAATCGGAGAGCTTGATGCTATTTGGTTAAAATTTTTAGAGAAGGAACAGCTACATAGTGTTAATGCAGCCATTTTTGCAGGATATTGAGGTACATATTCTGCTGGAGAATAGAAGAGAAAAAAATAAGAAATCTAACTTTTGTGCAGGCAGGGTACAGTTTACCATGCTGCCTCATATATAGAGAGAAAGTTATTGTTAGTGCAGTTCTGCCTCAAAATGAATTGCTCTGTAGACATTTTAAAATATTTAAATGTAAAGGCTCCTTCTCGGTCATTTTTCTTAAAGCAACTTACAGTTAAGTAGCAGCATTAAAAAAGCATAGTTAAATATTTCAGAGTTCAGAATTTTAAAAGCATTTGTAAATGAAAATCTTCAACAGGCACACTTTTAAGTACAGTTAGTCTTACTAATCTTCCTTGGGACACACTTTATGGAGGCAGGCAATAAGAAGAGTTGTCCTTTTTCATTCATGGTGTTTGAATTAGCTATAGAAATTCTGGCTTCCATAATTCAGAATAACCCTGAAATGGGGAATAGTTATAGTGAAAAACAGAGTATCAGCTAGTTTATAGATTATAGACTTAATTTTTTTCAAACCTGAAGATCATTTTGGAACTAAAGAATTTTCAGTTTCAGGCTATGGCAAGTCAGCTGTATAATTCAATATCATTGTCTGTTAATACTTGATGTATTAAATAACAAAAGGTTTTAAAATCAGTGCTTGAGTATAACCCAGAAAATAATAGAATAATTTTAATTTGCATCTAAGGCAAGCCATTCAATATTACGTTAATCCAAGACTATACTTCAGCCAGTGCAAACTGAAGCTCTGTGATGATTTGAAACATTTTTCCAGCACAACACCCAAAAAAGATGTTATACTAATTATGTAAGATGGGAATACTATAGTTGGAAGTAGAATAGCATCTGGACTAACGGGAACATTTAGCCTCAGTGTACAAAACCAATAGAGCTTGCCAAAAAAATTCAGTGTTATAGCAAATACCTTCTTCCAGCAAACTGCACTGTGACTCTACACACATATATTACCAGATGGACAACACTGAAATCAGATTGACTATTTACTCTGCAAGCAAAGATAGAGAGGCTTTATTCAGTCAGCAAAAATAAGACCTCAAGATGACTGCGGCTCAAATTATGAAATCCTTCTTGCAAAATTACAGCTAAAGAAAATAAAGACTAAGATACAATTTCAGCAAAATTCTGCATGATTATCAATTGAAGGTAAAGAATAGATTTAATAGATTAGATATGACACATTGAATGCTTGAGGAACTCTAGATTGCAATTTAAGACACAAAAATGAAGCAAACAAAAATATCCCAAAGGAGGAAAAAAGAGGAGAAACTGTTGTCTGGTGGCCTGTTGAAAACTGGTGAAAAAGGGTAAAAAGCAAAAGAGAAGAAAATTTGCCTAATAATTGAGTTTCAAAAGCAACATGAAAGGTGTTATATTTAAATATGCAATGTAAAGAAATTGAGGATAGCTATCAAATGGGAAGAACAGAAATTTTTAAAAAGAAAACGATAGAAATGAAAGAAGGCAAAAACCTACTGGAAAAAGAAGATATAAAGAAGAGATGGTATTAATATATGGGAGAATTGTACAAAGATGGTCTCAGAATTAATAATAGGCGCAAAGCTTTATACACTGACTAGAACCAGACATTTTGAAAATTGCAGTTAGAAAATATTGCTAGCAACAAAACAGGAATTGATGAAATACCAGCGTATCTGTTTAAAATCCTACAGTGTGATGCAGCTAAAGTGCAATATTAAGTTTATGAGCACATGTGGAAAACAGTTACCAAGGGTCTAGAAAAATAAATGTATATTCCTGTTACAAAAAGGGACAGTGCTAAGGAATGCTAATCCTTTATAGATTATATGTAAGATTTTGACTCTGTAAATGACAACAAATTGTGGATCACACTTAAAAGCAAGGGTATACTGAGCCATTCCATCTGTATACTGAAGAATTTATATGATGGCCAGGAAGCATATCATGAGAAATGCTGGGCTAGAATAAACAAAACATTACAATCAAAATTACTGGGATGACATCAGCAAGTACAAAAGTCACTCTACTGTTCATTGTTAACAAACTAAGATATCAACAGGCAGTGCCAACCCAATGCAGATAGGCAGAGAAGAAGCTGAACTGGTAACAGATTTTTCTCTTCCTAAGCTCTAGATTCACAAGGGATGGCAGCTGTAGCCATGAAATAAAAATACATCTTCCGTTTGGGAGAAAGGCTATGACAGATCTAGACAAAATATTAAGTGCAGAGAAATCACATTAACATTAGAGGTATGTATTGTTAGCTTTGAATAGTGGTGCTGCAGAAAATTGTTCAGAATATTTTATACAGTGGGGCAAAAAAGTATTTAGTCAGCCACCAATTGTGCAAGTTCTCCCACTTAAAAAGATGAGAGAGGCCTGTAATTTTCATCATAGGTATACCTCA